GCTGCTGCTGCTGCTGCAGTCGGTGCTGCAGGTGTTGCTGTTGCAGCAGGTGCTGCTGTTGCAGGAGTTGCTGCTGTCTTTTGTTTCTGAAGACACAAACCCTAACCCACTGAGGCCCCTGGGTTTTGTCTGCGTTGAGGTGTACAGACACCGCAGTTGATGGCTCGTATTACAGCAGATGCAGGAGAAAGCCAGCTAGCTAGCTAGCTAGCTAGCCAAGTATCGAGCTAGCTAGATAAATAGCTAGCCAGAGAGCTAGCGACCCAACTAGTCAGCTAGTTAGCAAGCAGGCCGTCCAGCTAGCTAGTTAGCTAGCTAGCTACCCAGCTAGGGTAGCCAGCTAGCTAGCTAGCTAGCTAGCTAGCAACGCAGCAAGGGTATATCTGTTAAGGGTTTTGCCTTTGTGGTGTACCGAGGGGTGACCCTCCAATGACGCAGGCGGGGTGTACAGACCTCAGCTAGCTGTAGCTAGCTAGCTATGGCTTGCTACGGCTAGCTAGCCAGAAATAGATTACATCGAACTACGTTGGTGGATATTTTGTTTAAAAAAATCCAAAAAAAATAAAATGCTGTTACATGTCAACACTCCTAGACACCACAGAGCTGCCTATACACCCCAACCTGCCTATACACCGCAGAGCTGCCTATACACCCCAGAGCTGCGTATACACCCCAACCTGCCTAGACACCCCGGAGCTGCCTATACACCCGAAACTCTGTCGAAGGCATATCGCTGTTATTTTCTTTGTTTAAGCAGATAAAAAGCTGCCTATACACCACAACCTGCGTAGACACCGCAGAGCTGCCTATACACCCGGCCGGCGTCACTGGAGGGTCACCCCCCTGCACACCACAAAAGCAAAACCCCTACCAGCTAAACCCTCAAACTAATTTATTTATTTATTTATTTATTTATTTATTTATTCTATCAGCTGGTGCTGTAGACAACATCACCGCCCCCTAGATATACATTCCTATGGCGGGTGGTTGGGGGCCCCCGTGGCGGGGGCCCCCTCTACCACCCTGCAGGTACAGAACAACCCTAAACCCTAAACCCTAAACCCTAAACCCTAAACCCTAAAAGCTAAGCACTAGATATGCTTTAGAACGTATATTTTACATCTTCAGTTGAGTTGACTTTTTGCTTGCTTCGGCTCCAAACCCTAAACCCTAAACCCTAAACCCTAAACCCTAAACCCTCCAGTTCATTGAATGCAGCTGTGCTGTTTCTTTGACGCTGCTGCGCCCTAACCCCCCGGGGCGTAGTTACCTTCTCCTCAATCTGAAACCCTAAACCCTAAACCCTAAACCCTAGTTTTTTAAAGGAGTAGCGCCCGAGCTAGCCCCCAACTGACACGGCAGCAGCAGCAGCAGCAACAGCAGCAGCAGCAACAGCAGCAGCAGCAGCAGCAGCAGCTCCTTCGTGGCTATGGGGGGGGCTGTGGGCTTGTTAGGAATCCATGCAAGGCGCAGCAGCAGCAGCAGCAGCGCTGCAGCAGCAGCAGCAGCAGAAGCAGCAGCAGCAGCAGAAGCGGCAGCAGCTGTTGCCTCCCCTACGACTGTAGATTCTGAGTTGCAGCAGGACCAAGACCCCGACCAGCAGCAGCAACAGCAGCAGCAACAGCAACACGAAGAGCAGCACCAGCAGCAACTGCAGCAGCAGCAGCAGCAGAAGCAGCAGCAGCAGCAGCAGCAGCAGCAGCAGCAGAGTCAGTGGGAGGATTTATCTCTTCATTCTATCTCCGATGACAACTTCGATCTCTTTGATGATTTAGGGGGCCCCCCAGAGGCCCCCCCGAAGAAGAGAAAGAAGGGTACGCGGTCTGCTGCTGCTGCTGCTGCTGCTGCAGCAGCTGCAGCAGGAGGAGAAGCAGCAACAGCAGCAAAGGCGGGTAGAACACGCAGACGGAGAACCACCCCTGCAGCAGCAGCAGCAGCAGCAGCAGCAGCAGCAGCATCACAAGAGGCCCATTACTCAGCGCCTGCAGCAGCAGTAGCAGCAACAGCAGCATCAGCAGCAACAGAAGCAGCAGAAGAAGATGCAGCAGCAGCAGCAGCAGCAGAAACAGCAGCAGCATCTGACTGCAGCAGCTTCGATGACGATGTTCCCCTGGATGCCTCTTCTCTTCTCTCCCCTTCATTTGTAACCATACAGCAGCAGCAGCAGCAGCAGCAGCAGCAGCAACAGCAGCAGCAGCAGCAGCAACGGCACGCTGGCTCAGGAGGAGCAGCAGCAGCGCCTGACCATGCAGACGCTGCAGACAGCAGCAGCAGCAGCAGCAACAGCAGCAGCAGCAGCAGAAGCAGCAGGAAGAGGCTGCGGGGGGGCCAGAGCATTGCTAAAGGAGAGGATGACGATAGCTGCTGCAGCTGCCCGCCCAGCAGCAGCAGCAGCAGCAGCACAACAACCACCAGCAGCAACAACAACAGCAGCAGCAGCAGCAGCCTCCCCTCCGTAGATGAAACAAACAAGTAACTCTGCTCCACTCAGTCTCCAGCAGGGTTTAGGGTTTAGGGTTTAGGGTTTGGGGTTTAGGGTTTAGGGTTTAGGGTTTAGGGTTTAGGGTTTGTGCGGCTCAGGGCGACGCCGCTGAGCGCCAAGAGGAGGAAGGCCCTCAACAAGAAGAAGAAACTGCTGCAGCAGGAAGCAGAAGCTCTTGCAAAAGAGGTGCTGCTGCTGCTGCTGCTGCTGTTGCTGCTGCTGCTGCTGCTGTTGCTGTTGCTGTTGTTGCTGCTGTAGTTGGTGCTGCTGCTGCCGCTGTAGCTGTTGTTTGGATCGCCATGTGCTTCACTGGGGGCTGCTGCTGTTTGTGCTGCTGCTGAACTTCTTGCTGCTGCTGCTGCTACTGCTGTTGCTGTTGCTGCTGCTGCTGACGTTGCCATTGCTGCTGCTGCTGCTGCTGCTGCTGCTGCTGTTAGGTTGAGGTGCTGCGGCGAGAGGAGCTGCAGAACTGCGAGGAGACAAAACAGCAGCAATGGAAGGCAATGCTGCTGCAGCAGCTGCAGCAGCAACAGGCAGCAGCAGCAGCA